TGGGGGAGGGACTAGCGCCAGCTGCATGCCCCGCGGCGCAGGGGCAGCCGCCGTAACCAGCGGCAGGGTAACCAACAGGAGCGAGGTGGCTAGGATAACCAGCAGCACCTGGGTGGCCAGGATAGCCGGGGTGGGCTAAACCAGCATAACCCGTGGCGGGAGGTAAACCGGTTGGGGGGGGTAAACCAGTGGCGGGATAGCCGGCATAGCCAACGGGGGGATAGCCGGCATAGCCCATAGGGGGATAACCAGTAGGGGGATAACCAGCGGCTGAGCTCGCAGGTTGGGAGCCTGCGCCGTCCTTTTCGGCGTTGCGACGTCGGCCCTTGGGGGCCGCCGCTTTGCGCGTTCGGCGGCGACGAGGGGAGGGGTCCTCGTCGCTTTCGTCGTCGCCGCGGCCTCGCACTTCCATTGCCGGTAGCGCCGTAGCGCGCCTATCCGGAGCCGGAGTCACCGGGGCCACGGACGTGACCGCGGCACCCGACTGCGTCTCCTCCGCCGCCGCCGCGCCCTGGACAACGGTCGGTCCCAGGGTTTGTGGTATTGTGTAAGTGGGCACCTCCATGCGGTAAACCGTCCCCTCCGGTCGGCCGCTAGTCCCCTCTACTCTGTAGACCCCACTCTCGGGCCTATAGGCGCCGCCCTCCGTTCTGTAACCAGCGACCTCTGCACTGTAATTCTGGGTTCGTATCATTTCCGGTCGGTAAACCCCGGCTTGTTGACTCTCGTAGCCTGCTACCCTGCCTTCGCTCGCCCTCCCATCCACCACCTGATTTGCAAACCCCTGATTTGTGAACCCTTGATTTGTGAACCCTTGGTCTCTGAACCCCTGATCTCTGAACCCTTGATTTGTGAACCCTTGATTTGTGAACCCTTGATTTGTGAACCCTTGGTCTCTGTAGCCTTGGTCTCTGTAGCCTTGGTCTCTGTAGCCTTGCTCTCCGTAGCCGTGGTCTCTGTAGAGGTCTCTTGTCCGCTCAATGATGGTTGTGGTGCATTTCTCCGGTTCAGTCTCTAACTCCATTTTTCTAACTATCCTCTTTGTGTATACGAGAGCGTTTCCATTGATGATTCTCTTCTCCATATCGTCCATCGTTTCATCAAATTTAACACGTGGCTCTGCGGCAGCCGAGTAGGCCGCGTTCTCTCTCTCAAACACCAGTGGCTCGCGCTGGCCCACGTCACTGACGAACATTTTCTAAATGAGGCGATCAAAAATCACGGTGAAACAGGACCGGGTCCGGGTTTGTGTTGATACTGGGTGAGGCTACCTGCCGCCCACCTCCTATAGCGCCAATACATTGCGTCCAGTACATGTGTGTGCGTCCAGTACATGTGTGTGCGTCCAGTACATGTGTGTGCGTCCAGTACATGTGTGTGCGTCCAGCACGTGTGTGCGTCCAGCACGTGTGTGCGTCCAGCACGTGTGTGCGTCCGGCACGTGTGTGCGTCCGGCACGTGTGTGCAGAGACGTGTGTGCAGAGACGTGTGTCCCTTAAAACTGGCCGGTTTGGATAGTTGTCTTGCAGGAGTTCATACTATGCTACTAACCCTATTGAGTACTTGATTCGCATCACCAAGCAAGCCCTGCTCACCACACAAAGCACAAAGGACAGTGGCTTTGAAACAAATGTTGGAAATGGGGCCGCGGATGGTGTAAAGAATGATGGAGCCGATAGCGGGGCGATGAGCTGTGAGGGTCGATCTCAACCGTCGAACCGGCGCTGCAGTTCCACCTTTGACTTGCAGGGCTTTGGGTCGCAAGCCCTTGGTTCGCAAGCCCTTGGTTCGCAAGCCCTTGGTTCGCAAGCCTTTCCGTCGAGTCGAACCTCGACACACATCGGGTCGAGTCGAACTTCGACAAACACGGCGGCAAAAACACGGAGCCTAGAGGCGGACGCGGCGACCTCAGAAACTCTCGCCTCGGAGGCTAAGGGATCGGAGGAGACGACAACATTCTTGGAGCTGGAGGAGCTGCCGCGCTGCAGCGACTTCGAGTATCACAACCGGGTCGTGGTCGTGGACGACGTCTGCGAGGGCATGGACACGGGGGAGTGCATCCGACCCTATACGTACCACTTGGCACACAACCCGGCGCTGCCACAGGCCTCACTGGCCGACCTGGCTGGTGAGGCGTGGGTCTTCCTCGACAGGGTCTGGCTCAGCCACCGTGACGCTGAGGCACTCACCACGGCCTGCACCGGCACCTACAAGTACCATTGCCAGTCGTGCAATGACGATCGCATCGTCCGGCTCGTCTCCGTCGTCAACGACCTTAGGTACTGCCCACGTACACACTCGCGTGTGCGACATTCACACGGTGGACACATCCAGAGGTGTGCGGGGACACGGGCGTGACGTTTGTAGCCTGTTTTAGTGCGGAGTACCGAGACTACTGTTGTCCGTTGTGTTCGCCTGGCGACCACTCATCGGTGGACCCGGGGCCGGGGGTGCAGAAGTTGCGGAGCGAGAAGGTGGCCACGCCAGTGCGACTGTATCGCGACCTGGAAGGGGGGCAGGTGGACGGATACAGTCGCATATATCAGGGCAAGACAGCGCTTAACGGGCAGACAATGAAAGTAGAGTGTGCAGCGGCAGATGAGTTGGGTCTAACGCCTAACTCGCTCTGCGGTCTGCACCTCATCCATTGCGGCAAACGCTGGTACTGCCTTGCCGCGTATCCACCGCAATTGGGCGCTGACAAGAAGACCGAGGCTTGGAGGGGGACAGGGGCCTGGAACACAGCGGGGGTCTGGCAAATCCAGCGCCGTACCACCCCGCGTCAGACACAACCTAACAGCCAACCGCCTTGGTGCGACATGGACAGCTACAACACGAGCAGTTACAACACCGTGGCCAATGATGGGGATCGGCACGAAGATGATCGGCTCGATGATGGCCGCACGCAAACTCGCGAGACTTGGAACGGGAGTAGCCGAAGAAGTCATTCGCTCAAAGTGGTTGGAGAAGAAGTCCCGCGGCTGCTGCAAGGCGACCTGAGGGCATTTGAGGACGAGCTTGGGGCCGCCGAAAGGGATTTGAACGACGCCGAGGGGGTTTCGGACGCCAGGGGGGACTCGGAAGATGGGAGTGGGGAAGCCGAGTACCGGCCGAGCCGCGGTGAGGAGGGGAGTGGGAAGGGTTCGTCATCGGGCAGGTCGTTGACGACGATGAGTACGTGGGGTCGGACTCCGCGGCTGCATGGGGCGGGGAGTCCGGGTGACACTCGGAACCCGACGGTCGCGAGTTCGATTCCGGCGGCGGCCGCGTGGAGTCGGTTGTTTGAGAAGACGCAATGGTACGCGGAAAGTTCAAGTGCTCAGGGGCTGACATTACTGAGTCTAAGTCACTGCGTTGCCGCACGCGTCGGCTCCCGACCGCTTCATGTTTTAGTGTTTGCACACGATGCCAAGCATATGTCCTACCTCATGCGACTAATCGGCCATGTAACCTTGCTGTTCACTCGTAGTCCCCAAATAGTACAAGACGTGGCACTCCAAAACCCCCACAGCGTCCTGGCCCTTGACTGGAGCATGGTCAACAACTCGAAAACGGCAATACAAAAAATGATGGATGAAATTGGCGAGTTCCTTCGACAGATCCACGTCACACTTTGGAGTGAGTTGCCCTCCCCCCCCCGTGATTGTCGTGTGTGAGATGTCCAGTGCGGGATATTTGTATTGTGTTTTCAGTAATGCTTCCGTTACCAGCGAAGATTTTGGACCCCACTCCCGCGTAAGGAATAGTCCAGATACGCTAGCTTTTGTAGAGTGCCGAGTCTGCTGAAGGGACTGTCTCTGGAGCCCTTTGCTTTCACACTCATCTTTCGTGAGGTTACCGCTGCCACGGCAACCATTGCCTACTGGAAGCTTACTGAAGGAAAGGAGGGACGGGAGACAGCTGATTACAGCCACCTGTTCATGACCGACGACCGAGACGCTGGAGTCGACCTGGAAGACCTGCAACGTGTGCTCAGGACGTCAATGGGCCCGTCCTACGATGTCTTCGAATCCGTCATGAGCGGGCTCACTCAATATGCGGGGAGATGCAGTGCTCTCGCTGTCTCTGCACTCACCCTCCTCACGCAATATAATTTCAGATTCTGGGAAGTCTTGGGGGGCGATCGAGACTGTAAACCTACACAAAAAGACCTACACAAAAAGATATACACCGAAAATAGACCCTTAGAACTCGACCACGTCCCTCCCTCTGTTATGAATCAACGTGTGTGTCAGATTTGAGACACACTATTCCGTGAATATGAACCACACTATTCTACTATAGTCATATTGTAGTCCTTCCAATCTCGGAGGCTTTTATTGCCGTAAATGATGAAGATGAGTAGAGCTAACATCGCGGGTCAAGCATACAAAAGTTAGTTCGACCTTTAAAAATCGACGGATAGGATCAGTGGAAAAAAAATGAGTGCATCGAAAAATGAGTGAATGGAGACGATACATTGGGCAACAAGCATTATATGCGTTATCGTTCTGATCTTGGCTTTGCTCCTCTACACGCTGATAACAGTATGGATGGTAAGCCCGCTAATTCTCCACGCTAGTTGTGGCCTCTGGTGGCGCGTGGCCTCTCGTCATGGCGCAGCTTGAAACATGTGCGAAATATTTATTCGCACATGTTGGGGTTACTCGTCGTGGTGGGCCCAAGTATGTATGCGTGATTTATTTAGGGCCATCGCGAAAGATCCCGTCGAGAGGAGATTTCGCGTCTCTTGGACGGGTACCACTCGGAACCTCGGGAAGAGTTGTCAAGCAACGCTCCAAGATGACTGGTAGCATTGTTCGAGTTCGTTGAAGGGTGGATTCTTCTTACTTGATATCAGGAGGTACTCCAAGAGCGAAGCGTTGCGTCTACGGAGCGCCAGGTCGAACGGCGTTTGGCCGAGATTATCGGTTTGCCAAAGATCGGTGCCGTAGCGATCCAGAACTTCAAGCAAGGCGACGCTGTCGCACTGGTGGGCGGCGGTTCTGCCCATGACGTCTCTATGTCGGGCTAGCTCCGGCTGGTGGTCGAGTAGGCACTTGACCATGTCGACTCTGCGCTTTTTGACGGCGAGGAAGAGGGGCACTTCGCCCCAGGCGTCTTCCTCCGAGGCTTCGTGGCCCTCGGCCAACAGGAGTCTGAGACAAGCCACGGACCCGTGGGCAACTGCACGGTTCACCGCACACGGGGAATCCAGAAAGCCGTTGCGTCCCAACCACCGGAGCACGTCCGGTCGATTGTACTCTATAGCCAAGTCTACCAGAAACTTCTTCCAAGATGTCGTTCGCCCAAGTATACTTTGGTACCTGATATTCCTCTCATCCCTGGCCACACCGGCTTCGCCTCCTAACTGCCGATTCCACACTCGCAAGAACATTTCCAGTGCCGCCAGGTTGCCGCAGGCTACTGCGTGCTCTACCGGCGACCACCCGAATTGATCCTGTTGACAGATTGTCTCGGGGTCTTGCGACACGGAGGCCTGCAGAGCCTCCATCTCGCCCGTCACCACCTGCAGAATGGTCGGCGTTATGTACCGAGAACCCGACAACGCCCGACTCATTATGATCCCATAAACCAAGCGACGGTGGGTCCGGTCGACGCGCCAATGGTTTGCCATGACTGACCCAAGTCCCAACCCACCTAACGTAGTGCCCAACTGTCAGCACTCGAGTGTGGAACTGCACGGGGTGATCGGAACAGCGATCGAAGCTTCGATCGCTGCAGTATACTGCTATACTATAAGTCATGAATTCTAACGTGGTTAACGTAACCACCAGATACTGCTGGTAGACGAAAAAGGTGAGCAGTCAGACAATGACACTGAGAGCCGGGAGGCACAGCCACCGAGGATGCTGTGCTACCAACCCAGGAATGTCGGTCGGGGGTCCCCTAAGCAAAGTGCTTTGCTTGTTTTGACAGCCAGTGTTTCACGTTCCTAGCTTGTTTATTAACGAGGTGTTTGGCCATGGATATGGGTTGTGAGGTGAAGCTGCGATGTTTGCTGTAGGCAACCATGTGTTCTCTGGCGTGTCTCTGGGGTAGTACGGGTGTGGGTAGTTCGGTGTCGATGAGCTCGTTGGCCAGCAGGGGTCGGCTGGGTGTTTGTGGGCTGGCGCGTGCGTACTGACCGCCCCAGGGACGGGCATCCGAAGGATGGGCGTTCGACGGACGGGCGTTCGAGGGACGGGCGTCCCAAGTTGTGGGGGTCGGGTCGTCGAGTAGGTCGCGTTTGCTGCTTGATTGACTGCGGGCGACAGGAACGAACTCAGTTGGGGCGAACCCTGAAGCGAACCCTGAAGTCGTTGGTTCGAATCCGGTGGTTGTCTCAATAGTCCTGGGTGATTCGGCCGAGACGAGTAAGTCATCATACTCGATGGAGACGGGTCGACCGCCCTTGACGGCCATACGCAGGTCACCCACTGCGTCCAGAATACGGGTCCCCACACTTTTCTTGATTCGCGGTGCCATTGGTCTGCGTGTCGCACATTTTATAAATCCCCGGCAAACCACGCGCGACTCGGTAGATGGCGACTCTGCGACTGGCGACATCTCTCTACCCTGAAGATACCTACTCTGAACATGAGGCACACAGCTTAATGCAACGATGTGTTGAGGAGGCATGGAAGTCGTACGAAGCCGGGGAAGTGCCAGTTGGATGTCTTTATGTAAACCGTTTCACGAAACAGGTCGTTGCATCTGCAGGCAATGAAACAAACGAAACTAAAAACGTAACCCAATGCCACCCCCAATCGATCCGTAGCCACCCCCAATCGATCCGTAGCCACCCCCAATCGATCCGTAGCCACCCCCAATCGATCCGTAGCCACCCCCAATCGATCCGTAACCACCCCCAATCGATCCGTAACCACCCCCAATCGATCCATCCCGCGTGATCACGTCCGTCCCCATTAGGCTTGCCGTCATGCGGAGTTGGTAGCGTACGACTATGTGTATTCAACATTGGCTAGCCCGAAGCGGGAGAGCTGGTTTCGTTTGGTGCAAGACCTGGATCTGTGGGTGACGTGCGAGCCCTGCATAATGTGTGCAGCGGCGTTAAAAACGTTGGGGTTCCAACGTTGCGTGTTCGGCTGTCGTAACGAACGATTTGGCGGCTGCGGTACAACGATGCCCATCCATGAATTGAAGTCGCGCGACTACCGACCGCTCGAGGTCTTTGCCGGGTTCTATGAGAAAGAGGCGATCGGAATATTACAATACTTTTATGAACGCGGCAACCCCCATGCGCCCCCAGAAAAACGTAAACGCCCTCTCAAGCTCGTATCCTGCAGACCAGAAAGGGATATTGGTAAAAACGACGCAGGCAAAGATGACGCAGGCAAAGATGACGCAGGCAAAGATGACGCAGGCAAAGATGACGCAGGACCAGGCGCTACTCCGGAGACCGTCGCCACTCTCCGAGCCGATTGAATCTAGCTACGTACGTGGCTGCCTTCAGCTACGAACCACGGTTCACTCACTCACTATATTCGCCCTGCGCCGCAATTCTCTGACCCAATCCTTACTCGCAGGAATAGCCCCACAATTAGAAGAGCCCCCCCTAGGAATAGCCCCCATCCTTTCAATGAACAATCTCCTTTTTTGGTCTACTAGGTTCGCACTCCGAAAACTCACTCACTCAATTGACTGACTCACTCACTCAATTGACTGACCCCTTCAATATCGATCCGCGATGAGCTGCTGACAGGTGATGAGCTCCTAAAGGGCGATGAGCTCCTAAGGGGTGATGAGCTCCTAAAGGGCAATGAGCTCCTAAAGGGCGATGAGCTTTTGCCAGGGAAGAGCTCTCTCTGGACCTAAGTAAGGTCCGGCCTTGCTTGGTTACGTAGGGGCCGGTAGTCAAGCCCGCACTGGACATAAGGCCTGGAACAAAGCAAGTAAAATCCCGATAAGAGGTCCGGAAAGAGCGCATTGTTTATATCTCATGAAAAGCGGCTGGGTAGATGGGAGCGGAGCCTCGCCGAGGCATGTTGGAGAACCGCCAGTCGATAGGCGCGTCGTAGCCAATAGGCAATTCCTCGTCTTTCGCCGCGAGGAGCGGCGACAGGGCCATGTCTTGTTTGTAATTGACTTCATCACGACCATTGCTTTGCGCGAGGAAGTACAAAGAGTTCATCACACAGCGATCCAAGGTACAGTCCGCAAAGTCCCAGCCGTAGCCATCAGCAGTGCAACAGGCGCCGCTCCTGCGTCGATTTGGGCCTGCCGCCTTACCGAAGCGGTGTTCAATGTAACTCGACCGCTTTATGAGCTCGTAGAAAGTTACGTCTGTGATCATCGACCGTGTAGTCCTGATCAACAGGAACCCGCTGAAACATAACCACAGAATGTTGCTTACACAATTCATCAAAACCAAGTAGAACAACGGCTGAAAGCACAACACTCAAGTCGGGTGTGTGTGTCACGGTGTGTGTGCGTCGCCGTGTGTGTGCGTCGCCGTGTGTGTGCGTACGGAGAGTAGAAGTGCGAGGAGGTTGCGAGTGAAGTAGTCGGTGGCACCGTTGTCCAGTGGTTCGCGTTTGGTGAGGGAGGCTCGTATGTAGATGGCAGCGACTGCGAAGTAGTAGAGTAGAGACGCGACCATGGAATAGAGGAAGAAGAGGAATGACCTTTGATTTTTGAGTCCGATACAATTGTCAACCCAGACGCAATGGTGGTCGAATCGTTGTACGCAGACGCCGCATTCGCTGCAGTGGTGTTGGCGTATATTTTTTACATCGTGGCAGGTGAGACAAACGTTGGGTAGTGGTCCGCGGCCGCCGAGTACGCGTTCGACATAGGGTGCCGGGTCGCAGTTTTTGCGTTCGAGAGCGACCCGGGGTCGTAGTAGGTTCATATCTTCAGCGATCTGTGCAAGAGCGTGCATCATGCTTTCTAATTTGGCCTTAACTTCTTTACGAACGACGCCATGTATTTGCCTGTTTAAGACGGCGATTTGAAGTGCGATTTTCTTGGAGGCAACTTCGAGTTTATGCAATCCCCCGATACCTACAGGTAGATGTGTGGCTGATCGCCCACCGGCTACTGTCCCAGTTGGTGTCTTCTCGAACAACGACAAGTCCCGTTCCCCCGAGTCTGAACAGTAGATCGTCTGGCATGGTAATACTTGTTGCTGAGGACGCACTGACCCCGGATCTTTCTTCGCCGCAATCACCCAGCAACCCGTTGTCAACACCATCAAGACAGTAAATCCCATCCACAACCGCCCCAATGTTAGCGATTCCCAACCATATCGTGACATCTGCCAAAATGTCGCCTCGCCACACACCAAATTCCAAATTAACAATCCGAATGCCACCCAAGCATACGCACTTGTAAGGAAACTACAGTGTCCCGTTAAAGCGTAGCATGAACGCCAACTCAATAAACTCAACGCCAGCCATAAATGTCCTCGCTGCCACGCTATTTTCACTGGCGTATTAATCCGCTTGTCGTCATGACTCTCCGCATGCACCAAATTCACCGCGCCCTTCTGACACTACACACCATACGCATCATCATGTGTCCGGCCACATGTCAAGCACGCGGCAACACGCACCTGTGTGCGTTTGTGTATGTATCCAACACATGCATGCACACATGTGTGTCGCCGCGCGTTGTGTGTGGACTTACTAAAAATAGGGCAACGTCATAGTTCCCGTTCGAACAGGCGACATGCAACGCGGTACGGTCTACAGCAACAGGTATGGAGGTCGGTCGGACCTGTAGAGGGGACCTGTAGAGGACTTCCGGTGCTTACTCATGTGGTCTCGATGAGCGAGATGGGCGCCCCTGCTGAGTAGCCAGTGGCAGATAGTGAGGGAGTTCCTCTGGGCTGCCCACATGAGAGCGGTTTTGCCCTGTGAGTCTTGTGCCTCAAGAGGCATGCCATTCAGGTACATCCATTCGAGAGCCATGAGTATGTCGAATGAGCGTTCGTCAGGGGTTTCAGCACAACAGGTAATGAGAAGGTTGCATAGTTGATGGTTTACGCAGTTAAGTACCGAGTCCCCAAGTTTGGCATGAAGGAACTGTATATACCTAATATTAATAGAACGAATGGCGTAGTGTAGAGATGTGTCTCCATTGAAATCACACGCGAAGGGATTACAACCCACTGCCAGTAACTCCTTCCATAACACGTCTCCCGTCTCAGTCAACCACACGCTAATGTGCAAGATATGCAAACTGTCCAATAACGCCACGTCCTGACCATGCTTCGATAAGATCCGCCGAACCGCCTCCAGAAAGTTCGTCGTTTCACGACGCTGTGCTAACCCAACAAGATCATTCCTGATCGCAGCAGCGTCCATTATTCTTTTAAAAAGGCCCGCCACTACACCCAAGCCAGCCACAGAGTGCAGCCCAACACACCGAACGTACAAAAACCCAAGACCCAAGAAACATGACCCAATCGACATAAGTCGAGGCGGCTAGGTATGCTACCATGCCGACTACCATGCCGACTACCATGATGGCTGACCTCAAGCGCTACCGTGCCGTGCTTCAGTCCCAGAACTAGTCGCTTGTCCTGGTCTGTCGCTTGTCCTGGCCTGTTCTGTTAATCCTTAATGACGATTTTTGCGGAGGCTGCAGCCTTTTTCAGGAGTTCCGAGACTTCGTTTTGGGAGAGGAATCTTTGTTTTACTTGGCCATCTTTAATATAGAGTATTGCGAATTCTGTTTGTTCGAGCGTTTGGTTACCAGCATCTGTGATTTGTGTTAATATTTTGGCGGCTAGTTCTAGACCTTCTTGGAGAGTGAGGTCATCTCTCCATTCTTGTTTCAGTATGCTTTGTGCTGTTACGCTGTTCTGTCCGACGGCGGTTGCTTTCCAGCCGCTGAAGTTACCCGCAGGGTCAGTAAGAATAAGTTGGAATGGGAACTCGGCATACTCTGATGCAGTATTAGAGCAATTAGTATCAGTCTGACCAAAGGAGGGAGTGTAACCAGCAAATAAGAATGATACACCAAACGGTCGAAGTCCTCCGAACTGAGTATAACTTTGCTTTATATCACATAAGTGAGTAACCAAGCTTTCCAAACTCACTGGCTCATCAAAACGATAACGATGTCTTTGAGCCGTCAATCGCGCATCATTCAACAATACATTAGCATCTGCCGTCCATCCTGCTACCGCCACAGCAATGTGCTCATCCACCACGTAAATTTTCTCCTTCGACAAACCCGGGTCAAGCAACTTTGTTGACACCAAACGGTCCGCAGCTAATACTACACCCTCTTTTGTTACTATCCCTACAGACATATACTCGTACACACACACCATAAGGAAGAAGGCCTACCACCCACACACGTTGGTAATAGGACACACACGTTGGTAATAGGACACACAGAGACGGGGGGGACGTTGGTAATAGGACACACAGAGACAGGGGGGGGGGGAGCCAGTACCCATGGTGCTTGAAGCGTTGTTGATGGCTTCTAGTGCGTACTCCACTTGAAACAATCGTCCTTCTTGTGAGAAGGTTGTCGTTCGGGTATCATATCTGGACATTTAAAAATTGAAATGTTGCAGAACCAACAACTGCCGAATTTCCACCGCTATTTTTTAGCCGCCCTAGCCCGGAAATCTTTGGAACGGACGGAGACCCAGCTGCTAGCGGTGCAAGAGATCTCCAAGGCACATGAAGAACTCAAACGACCATATGGGGGACGGCCGCGCGGTGTATATATCCACGGCCCCGTTGGACAAGGCAAAACGCTCATCTTGAATGCATACCGGGACTTCCTCAAAAAAACTGAACCTCCGGTTGTCGTCCCTGCTGGTCGGGCCGCCCCTGGCGATCGGGCCGCCCCTGGTGATCGGGCCGGCGCTGGTGATCGGGCCGCCCCTGGTGATCGGGCCGCCCCTGGTGGTCGGACACGGGGATCCGATGTCTATCCCACACCTGGTAAATCGAACATGACTCGTAGGCTCTTAAGCATGTTTGGTAACCAGAACGAGGATCGTGGAGATGAGGATCGTGGAGATGAGGATCGTGGAGATGAGGATCAGGGTATCCACGAGGAGTTCGATGCTGCCCCAAGATCTGACAGCATGGGATCTGACAGCATGGGATCAGATATCATGCGATGGAGCACTGGATTTTTACGGTGTCATTACACTGACTTGATGTTGATGTTGAATGGGTTGTTGCATAGTGATATCTTCAAAGCAATGACAATGTCGGAGTATTTAGGATGTCTGCGGGAGAGTGACAAGCGTGAGGTTTTGGGACATCAGGGTCAGGCGCGTTATGGTATGTCTTTAGATGAAAGTGTGAATAAAATCGTAGATAAGTTTCGTGCCGAGAAGATCCACGCCTTGCTCATCGACGAGGTGTACATTAACAATATCAGTGATGCTGTGCTATTTCGATACGTCATGGACGCCTTATGGTCCCGGCTGAAGATTGTGGTTGTGATGACTTCAAATCTGCCACCAGAATCTCTGTATATAAATGGGTTGAACTACTCGCGATTCGCCCCGTTTATTCCGTCACTAAAAAAGAACTGTACTGTCATTAATTTAAATCATCACAAAGACTTGCGACTACTCAACTCCTCTAAACACAATCATCACTCCTATGGTGGTGGTGGTGATGGAACGCAGATAGCAAATCACTTTTATAACATCCCTTCTCGGTCATTACAGGAGATTATACAGTTCATAAAAGAAGACTTGATTTTACAATTCTCTGTGGACAATAGTGATCCGGATCATGATGACAACAATAGTGATCCGGATAAATCAACTCAGCAACGAGCGATTGTAGACGAAGAGGCTATAGACGAAGAGGCTATAGACGAAGAGGCTATAGGCAAAGAGGCTATAGGCAAAGAGGCTATAGACGAAGAGGCTATAGACGAAGAGGCTATAGGCAATAGTGAGCAGCGAATAGAATCGAGACGGATATGTAGTCGGCCAGTAATTGAGTTCTCCCGGATGTTGGATGAACGAAGCGGACCAAAACGTTTCGCTTTAATGCACCAGAGAGAACTTGAATGTCCCTGGTTCTTTAACGGCATAGGGGTCTTCTCATTTGACCAGATTTGTAATGGAAATACTTCACCGTCTGATTACATTTCAATGACCAATTTTGTTAACAAGAGATTATATATATACGACATACCACATCTAAATGTGAATGAACATAAGGAACAGATTAGACGCTTCATTAAGTAACCCGAGCACCCAACATTTGTGTGCCAAACATTTGTGTGGCAAACATTTGTGTGGCAAACGTTTGTGTGGCAAACATTTTATTGTGGTAGTTTGATTGACGTATTTTATGAACGATGTATCCCTGTTTGTTATAACTCTGATGAGAAGCCATTGGGATTAATTGAAGGATGTCTGCCAGCTATTGAAGCCCTTGGTCAATTGCTCAAGTATATTAAGATGAATTCTTTCTCTTTTGAAGACTTCTGGGATACACATGCTGCAGGATGTCATGTCGGTATTGACAAAGAGAACTGGATGGCAGCTGTAGCTCAAATCCTGGATCATAAGTAATCATCACCTGAGATCGGTAGGAAATTCCTCAAGGCTGTTTGGGCCATGGGTATGCCAATGAGGATATTTCTTCTCTACTTGGGAAGGAGAAAAATGTCAGGGAGGAATTCCACTATACGAGAATATTTTTTCAGGCGGGCACTTGCAATCTGGGATTCTGTAACCGAGGTACCTGAAGTGTATCAGTCATCTTCTTCTTCAGACAATGAGGTACATCAGCGCTCCGATGTACATCAGCGCTCCGATGTACATCAGCGCTCCGATGTACATCAGCGCTCCGATGTACATCAGCGCTCCGATGTACATCAGCGCTCCGATACATTGAGTAAGAAAGTTTTACAAGGTATGTTATTGTACGTTGATATTTATGGAAATCAGAAGATGCCCGACGATGCGGAGCTGGATCTTAGCTCTCGGTATGGGGGAAGCCTTCTATCATCACGAGGTACGCAGGCCATCGATGTTGAATTTGCTATCCCGCGTCTTATATCCAGAATTATTGAGACGTATAAACGCACCTTGTAAAACGTGACTATTCTTTATAATAGCCGCTCCATACCGTCATTAGCCGCTGCATACCGTCATTAGCCGCTCCATATCGGGTACTTGAAAAGGTCACGGACGCATTCGGAATAGCTGGCCGGACATTTTTTTATATGGATGAGGCTTCTGATGATGATGGGCATTTCGGATGGTCGGACCGATGTTTGCGTGATGAGGTAGGTTCCACTGTCCGTGAAATTTAGATGAGTTACGAATGGATATTACCCCGTAGGTTGTTGTGTGTTTGGGACATATTACCGATGATGGAAAGGACATCATTCAGCATGTAAGATCTTTGGAGATTCTGGATAAGAAGAAAGTAAAGTTTATGTTGGATACTGTATGGCCAGCAGATACGGAAAGTTTTGTACGTAAGTGCGAAGAGGTATTAGGTCGGTTAGATTGGATAGAGGAGGTTGAGATTACGGTGAATCCAAGTGTTTATGGACCAGGAATGGGTGAGGATCTCGACGGGATCCGCAGCGTAATTTTGGTGACGTCATGCAAGGGAGGCGTGGGAAAAAGCACGGTGGCCGCGAATCTGGCTGTCTTACTGGCTCAGCGAGGAGCAAGAGTGGGTATTTGTGACTTGGATATCTACGGACCTAGTGTCCCACTTTTGTTCCCACAGATATCGGGCCCTGTCCTCATGGAAGACGGATTGCTGAAGCCTTTGGTTACGTCTTCCGTCCCGTTGTTTTATAGCAAGTCGTCTTCTTGTGCGGTAGAGAACCATTACAATAATGTGGGTGCGTTTCCTCGTCGTGCTTTCTCCAGCGTTTTTAACAAGAGCCCTTTGTTCCGCTTGCCTCTCGAAACACCTCGTCCATTGAAGGTTATGTCCTCTGGGTTTCTGCGACGAGAACACATTGCTATGAAGGGACCCATGGCGTGCGAGCTCGCGCAGCAGCTACTGCTCAACACCGCCTGGGGCCACCTGGACTACTTGGTCGTAGACATGCCCCCAGGTACTGGAGACCTTCCCTTGAGCATTGCAGAGATGGTGCCCTCTGCGTCCTATGTATTGGTTACTACTCCCCACGATCTCAGCGTGGCTGATACCTTAAAGGGCCACCAGCTCTTTGTCGAGATGGGGCTCGACTGCGTAGGTCTGGTCATTAACCAAATGGGAACCAACCGAACGGGACGCATCAATAGACAAGGTGCATTAACGACCAGCGTGCCCACTATGGACCAGGCTATTCATGCCCTCAGAAAGAACTTAGGCGACGATATACCCGTGTGCCTAATGCCGAATGAAAATCAAGAAATGAGCATTCGGGAATTCTATTTTGATGAGGACACACTCCCGACGGAGAACCGACCGATAGGGAGAAACACACCGATAGGGCCCATTACACTGGCCTGGTATAAAGGAGCGGGCTGGACCACTTCGTTGATGAATTTGAAGGAATTTGTGAAACATGTTGTTGCCTTGATTTCTGAACGTAAGGAGTGCGTGGGAGATAAGTCCCCTTTGCCGTCAGTAGTTTTTGAAAGTTGCTATGAGATGGTAGTCAACTTAGGTTCCAAGTCATGTCGGCTCTCTGCGATGAAGTTGCGACGCGCGTGCAAGTGCGCCGATTGTGTGGTCGAGCTACCCAAGTTTGCCGCTGAAGACGTTACGCTGAAGTCGATCGTATCGGTAACACCCAAGGGAATACACCTTGAATTCCACGACGGACACAAGGCGTACCTGCGCTTCGAACACGTGCTACCCGAGGACATGCTCACCCCCAATCCGGAGCAGTGCTCCCAAGCAAGTTCCGCCGTGCTGCCAGGACCTCAAGCCGACTGGTAATCAATCAGCTTGCTACGGGATACCTTTGTCACTACGGGACACCTTGCCACTACGGGACACCTTGCCACTACGGGGCATTGTCGCGCGTGATTAGTGGTACTGGTCGTGGGATACTAGGCACCCTGATTACACACGTTTGCTGGCTGCGTATATTGATTGGTCCATGTTGTTGGTCCCCATATCGGTGGCCCCCATCAGTCTTTTAGCTATAGATTAGGAATACTGACACAGTCCATGAGGAATACGAAAAATTTACACGAAGCCAAGCTGGTTCAATAAGTCGCCAGATCTGAATGTCGGACTGCAGAACAGTAGTGGCTTCGTGCATGTGCTTACGTTTTCATAGACATTATTCGGCCTCTATTTCTTCCGAATTGTTTTTTGGGACTTGGTATGATGGAGTCATCAGCAGTTTGCCTCAATGGAGTAGATGCTGCGGCATGACGTTTGCTATCAGCACTGCGTCTTGTGGGAGTTTGGGTCTTATCCATCGGCTCCTCGATGGTTGTTTCGGCTTTGGTAGTCATGGCAAGTGCCTTAGAATCGAACCCCGCTGTCACAGAGCCAGAATTTGCTGTCTTGGAATTAGGTTCATTAACTTTTATTTGTGGGGATTCCGTTTCCCTGGATTCCGTTATCTTGGATTCGAACGCTGGCTCAGACGGTTCCGAGACAGTGGGTCTGAAAGACTAGTGGATAAGGTTTATGTTTGTCAATATGTGTCGTACTGGAATGGCATTGACGTGGGCAGTCGGCTTCCGTTTGCGGAGTCGCAGTTCACGGTTTTGTTTGCGCTGTGTCCAGAGAACATCATCCTCTTCCTTGACAGTTTCCTGGAACTTTATTCGTTCGCGACGCGTGACTTTGGCAACGGATTCTTGTTGTTGTCGATAAAGGAAACGGATGTCGTCAAGGGTAAGACGTGTACGACTTTGGTTAGCCTGTGTATTGTCTGAAGTTAGAGCATCATGCGCTGGCACATCATGCTCTGTACGCTGCAATTGCTTCATCATAAACTCTATCAATTCCAACTTGTCTTGATCACAAGCTATCTTGTAGCCATTCGTCTTCGATTCTCGTATTGTACTCGCACTCGCACACCGACTCAAGCCAGATTCCTCATCCAACGTGTTGCTCCTCGCCCGCCCCCCACCCGGCACAACCTCCACACTCTCGTGCGACCGCGGACTCCAACTTTTACTCGCCCCGCAATCCTCAACCCGCCAGAACTCCGCACCCGACACACCCCGGTTCGAATCCTCCTCTCCCGGACGCGATTTTATGCAACTCCGCTGCGGCGCTCGCTCCAACGCCGCGATGCCAGGGTGCGTATCCGAGTCACCCTTCTTGCCATCCGACTCACCCTCCTTCACCTCCTCCCGGCCTTCACAGCTGCGGTTTTCGCCGCTGCGACGCTTTCGGTACACCCGGTCGCGACGAGCCTCCAACTGCCCCTTCCGTTCTTCCAGAGGGTCATTCATGGCGTCATGCCAAGACATCTTCATGGCCATCTCCGTTTTACCATCGGGGATTGTCTTGCCCTCGACGACGTTCCCGTCGACAGTCCTGGTAGGATTGGACGTGCCACTCTCCACTTTGCCACTTTCCGCCTTGGAATCTTCCGCCCGTTTCTTGTCCACCTTTTTGTTGAGCTGGACGGGTTCGTGAGGCAGTTCCGGTAGCAGTGGCGGGGGAGGCATAAACATGCCGTCCGACTCGAGGACTCGAACCCGAGCCCTGCCGCCCTTGAGTGCAGACTGGCGCGGCACCGGAGGTAAAACGAAACGAGACCCGCGTCGCTTCCAAACCGGTTCGAACGAGGGCCCCTCATCTTCTTCCTCACTTTCTCGTTCCGCGTTCGGGTCTTCGATTGGGGCCGACGAATTCTCCGATTCCGTATGGGATGGAGTCTCCGTATGGGACGAAGTCTCCGCATGCGATGAAGTCTCCGTATGCGATGAAGTCTCCGTATGCGATGAAGTCTCCGTATGCGATGAAGTCTCTACATAGGATGAAGTCTCAGTGAGGGAGGAAGTTTCTTTCGACCATTCGGACGAAGCGGGTTCCGACGAGGAGAGGACATTTTTCGGCGAGTCTTGCAGCTTGCCAGGGGGGATGCTCCGCTTCGTTCGCGGAAGCTCGTCCGTGGACGATATAGAGGACGACTCAGCCGTGCTGTCGCTCTCCTCCTTGATGACGATGCGCCGATTCTTGAGACCAACCCGTGGCCGACGGGACTGAACCACACGACGACCGCCACCGCCGCTCCGATCAACGCCAGGTCGGTGGTTCGAGCCGTGGAGGTCGACATTTGTTCCCTTCTTGTTCAGTGTGCTATTCGAACTTTCTTTGGACCGCCCCTCCTTAGCTCGTCTCTCCTTAGCTCGTCTCTCCTCCTTGGACGACCTCTCTTTAGATCTGTTACGAAACGCCGGCTTTATCGACTCAAAACTCTCAGATGTGTCAGATGAGTGGGAGCTGGAGGTTGAGCAAGAGCTTGAACTAGAGCTTGAGCTAGAGCTAGAGCTTGAGCTAGAGCTAGAGCTTGAGCTAGAGCTAGAGCTAGAGCTTGAATGGGAGCTGGAGCGAGACGAAGATGAACTGGCAGGCGAGCTGGAGGTCTCGAAAGACCGAGTGCGCTCGGAGCTTCGGCACGAACCGGAGCGCGTGGCTGAGAGAGACTGGCGAGCTGGTCGCGACTCGCTGGACGATCGGGAGCGGCTGGAGTTGGCCGAAAGCGTCCGCGAAGATCCCGTGCCATTGGTGTGTGTACTACTGTTGCGTCTGCCTGAGGTTTTGGTAGAGGACGCTCCTCCACTGGACGAGAGGCCCGTCGACGAGTGGCGAGAGGAGCCACGAGAAGTAGTCCTCGATGACAGGGAAGAACTAGCGCCGGAGGAGCTTGAACCAGAGGAGCGTGAAGCTGATGAAGGTGAGCCAGAGGACCGTGAGCCGGAGGAGGACGGTGATGTAGATCGGGATATCGATTTGGATGAAGAGTCACTTGAGGAGTCTGATGTCGACTTGCGGCCGGGGGTTCTCGAAGAGCTGCTTCTCGATGAGCTGCTTCTCGATGAGCTGCTTCTCGATGAGCTGCTTCTCGATGAGCTGCTTGGTGGCGAGCAGCTTGGTGACGAGCGGCTTTCGGAAGAGCTGCTTTCGGAAGAGCGGGAAGCGGAGCCAGAGGAGTTTGAGTAGGAGTTGCTCGAGTTGGTGGTGACAGATGGACTGCTGCTGGTTCCGGTTGAACTGCAAGATGAGCACGACGATGAGCTGGAGCTGGAGGATCGAGTGCTTGAGACTGATGAGCGAGACCCCGAGACGGAGGAGCGTGATAGAGAGGAGCGCGAGATTGATAGAGAGGAGTGTGAGACGGAGGATCGTGAGACGGAGGAGCTGAGTCCAGGTTCATGATGGGAAGGGGACTCGGTATGTGCAGTAGTAGGCGTTCTAGTGTTGCGGTCATCATCAAAGTGTCTCGGTTTTTTAACGGGTGAAAGGGGTTCTGCTGAAACGGATGATTCTGCATCTGTGCTGTCCTGCACGGTGCGAGAGAATGAAGCCGTTTTGGATCGTGATGTATCTAGTTGTAATGTATTACTACGACTGAAGAATTTGGTTTCAGACGCCCCTTTAACGCCTGGGTCTTCCCCCCGGGACAATTGCCCTAGTAATTTCCAGCTCTCTTCTTTCGTTAGAACGTCCTCCATAAACAGCGTATTGGGCGCGTCATTCTTACAGTCCCATAACCCCTCGGATAACGACTTCTCGTCGGCATCAAATACAGCCAACGCGCGCACTATCAACTGCTTCAGATCTTCCGTCTCCGCCTCAGCCTCAATCAAACCTTGCTGTAGCGCACGAAGCCACAAACCAACTGAGGTCTTATCCGCAGACATTCTCTTGTATGAAGACATACCGATAACATGCAGCAGCTTAATGTGCACAAACGTTTCTATAATGACACACACATACCCAAAACTGTGTGTGGAATATGAGCTTGTATGTGTGGAAGTGAGTGAGTAATACTTTTTTTTATGTAGTCGATGAGTACTCCGCTGGACTGGCATTTGAGTGTGGCTAGTTTGGGTATGTGTCGGAAGGCATATGCGAGGCTATAGGCGTCTTCTGGGTTGGTGACGAGGTCTTCGCCGAAATTAAGGTAAGGTTGTAGAGATTCAATTTGGCGTCTGCTGATGAGTAGGCTATTGACTTGGACTAGCCAGGTGACCTTTTCGCCCATGGCACTAAGTACGCCATTGTAGCAGACGTAACCGGCTCCAGGGTCTATCAGTTTTTCAAGTTCAAATCCGCCACCAGCCATGGACTTTGGACCAACTTGAAAAACCTCGCAGGTCTCAGAACTCAGTGTAGGAATGGCCAATAAATTGTTAATGAAGGAATTGGACGCAACAACGTTGTCTCGTTCGGCTGCAGTTAAGCATGGTGGTCGTAAGGTCACCGCCAGTACCAGGATTTGTGGACGGTCTGTGTGTACTTCGTGACAGGTATGTACCACCCGTATTTCAACTGGTCGACAGAACCCAACCTTATCATCCAGTCGATGCGGTGATGGTCCGACTACATGGAACTCGAAGGCCGTATATTTTTTTGAACGGAACTCGATCGAACCAAAACCTTCCACAAAGTTACGCATATCTACACCGATACGAATTGCCTTGGGTGTATGCGTCACCTCATACTGACCACTCGGCCTCTTGTAACACACCTTGATGTCTTCCGGACCCTCACCAATATAGCATCGCTTCAAACCCTTCGTTGTAATCAAGTCCGTTCGCACACTGGCATCCAACATCAAACCTCTCCACCGATAAAATACAGAGGTATTAAAACTCATTAACTCGCTTTCCGACAATTCCTCCTGCTCCTCTTCCTCCGAGGAACCGTCCTGCTCTTCATCGTCATCATCTCCTGAACATGAGGAAACAAAAATCTCTGACCGACGATGCTCACTTGGACCGAAACCGCTCTGCAAAGCCCCGCGGTGCCCCTCTCCTCCCACCACGAAACTGGGCGGTCGGTCTTCGAACGCCGGCGCCGAATATACAGGCTCCGGATATACCGTCTCCGGGTACTCCGGCTCCCCGTACACCGGCTCCACGTACACGGGCTCCACGTATACGGGCTCCGTGCTAGAAGCTGGCAACACTTCCTTATAAGACGTCTGTCTCGCGTACGTACCGCCGCCGTAGCTACTTGCCGTATCCACATATGGACTCTTCGCGTAACCAGACGCCTCGGATTGCGCTACTCTCTGGTCATACTTGTCCGGCGTCGCATGCGGACCATACTTCACCTGCTGCTCGTATGCCTGCTGCTCGTAAAGCTGCTGCTCATACGTCTGCTTTTCCAACGGCTTCTCAAACGTAGTCTGACGGTCAAAAGTGGCTTCTCGCTCAAACGGAGGCTCCCGCTCAAACGGAGGAGACTCTCGTTGAGACGGCTGAGGCAGTCGATCCAACACTGGACGCTCCGAAGCCGAATGGTCTAAAATTGGATGGTCCAAAGCCGAGCGGTCTGGTGCTGATACCTGATGGTAAACCGTTGTCTTCACAGGGGACTTCTGCTCATAAGGTCTCTGTTCGTAGACGGGGTCTTCATAGGTGTGCGCCTGTTTGTTGAAGGCTGGACTCCGATCGTAAGTAGGCTGGCGCTCATAAGGGGGCTGACTCGCTGGCAGCGGTTGACTCGCTGGCAGCGGTTGACTCGCCGGCAGTGCCTGACTGACCAGTGACTGAGAGATTAGTGGCTGACTCAGCGTCGGTTGAGTGGTCAGGGACTGACTAGAGGCCACGGGTAGACTAGTGGCCAGAGGTAGACTAGTAGCCAAAGGTTGACTGGTTAGAGGTTGACCGTATGGAGGTTGATTGAGTGAGGGCTGGCACTCATGACGGTGCGCCTCAAAAGCAAGGTCGCGGATTTCACGCGAAACGGAGGAGAGGTGCGTACCAGTGGTCCTCAGACGCGAGTTAGAATGCAACGCACGCGGCGAGCAGTTGTTTTGTCGCTGCACATCGTCGGGGTGCTCCGATCGAGGCCCCAGAGCCTCCGGGAGGACCAGCATGCCCTCGACCGTCCGCGGTGCCTCAGGTACACGCACCTCCGGCCCTCGGACGTGTTCCAAAGACCGGAGCGACCGTATGCTGTCTTGTGATACCGAGTGGTCTGCGACCGAATGGTCTGCGACCGAATGGTGGTGAGCGACCGAATGCTGGTGAGCGACCCGACTCGAGTCATGCACGCGCCCCAAGTGGTGGTCTCGTCGGCCGCCCGCGCGCCCCGTGTCATGCATCCGACCCGGGTCTGTAATGCGGCCCAGTTCCGCTGCCAGTGAGCGTAGACTGACGGAGGGGCCTTCCGCAGGAGGGGAGCGGCGGCGCCCGTGGGAGCACGGCAGACCGCGCCCAGACTCATCCCGGCCCCCCAGACGCTCCTCCTCGCAGTGTAGGTGGCCCCCCCGGTGCAGGTCGTCGCGCAAGATATAAATCAGGTTCCGCAAGATCTTTAGGTCGTCTTGGTATCGATCGTCTTGGTATCGATCGTCTTGGTATCGAGCGGTCCGCGATTCGAGTTCGCCTTCGCCCGTGAAACTCCGCCGGACGTGATCCAGGCGCCCGACAGGCCCCCCGTGTAGTTGGCAGCAGCGCTCCTCCGACCGGGCCTGGCACGCCGCCCGACAAGTCTCTTCCCTCTGCGGGCGATCCCTCTGTGGAAAATCTCGATGGGCGAAATCTCTTGGTGAGAAATCTCTCGGTGAGAAATCTCTTGGTGAGAAATCTGCTCCTGGGGAGAAATCACGGTGAGAGAAATCTCGCGGCGACGGATCGGCGTCGCAGCCGCAGCCGCGGCGGTCCCGGGCGGGATCGCGTCGTCGCGTAGAGTCACGGTGCCGCGTTTCGTGGAACCCGGTCTCGTAGCAATGGCAGCAGTGTCCGACCGCGCCGGCGGCGGCTGGGCTGCCCGTGGGGGGTCTGCCGCCTGCGTGATTAGTATACACATACGTGTTTGCACACGTGTTTGCAGATGCGCGGAGAGTGGTGATTTCCTGAGTGATTTTATGGGTCATCGGTGAGCGGTGTAGTGGGGCTAATTGGGGAGGTGGATGTGTGCGGGCGAATTGAAGGATGTCGGCGACGAAGGCGTGTCGACCGAAGCCTTTCCATTGGACGAGGCCGCCTGGGCCGACGACCATGGCGAAGCGGCGTACTCGGAAGGCTGCGCCTTTGCCGTCTGTGGCGGCAGCGAGTACGCCTAGAGCGCCGGCGAGTTTGCCGGCACTGTCGCTGATGAAAGTAATATGATCTCGGACATCTCTCGCCTTGGCCCAGGCTTTTAAGACGTAGGGGTCATTCGTGTAGAGACAGCCTACAAAGTTGAATCCTGCAGCCCGTAAGGCAGGCAGCCCATCTCGGAATTGAACCAAATGCTCTCCATCACAGCGGGGAGTAAACGCACCAGGTCCTCCGAACAATACTCCTCGCGTCCTCAAAAAGAAATCCCGCAAACGCACCGGCTCACCCTTCAACAAAATGCGCGTGTTCGGCACACAGTCACCCACACCGCACACACTTTTCCGCACACCGCGCGCCTCCGACGCACAAGCCCGACCACTAATCTCGCCTGCAACACCCTCGCACCCCACAACGTCGTGAGTCGCACGACGTTCCTTTGCCCGCTCCTTCATGCGCTCCTTGCCACGCTCCTTGAAACCCCGTTCCTTGTTACCAAGGTCCTTGTCACCAAGCTCTTTGCTACCGGGCGCTTCGACGGCCAACTCATGAAGCGACCGTCGACACATTGGCCGCTCGTCCGAAGAAGACGCTAGCCGACCTTCTGCCAAGCGACCATCTGATATCATCTACACAAAGCGGACGATTTTTCAATTCCGATTTCTCCCGCCAAGCCACCCCTCTCACTCAACCAACCAACCACGCTCACCCAACGACACCAACCGCGCTCCTTACCATGTGGACACATGTTGGATTCACCCCCAGATCTTACTTGATCTCCCAGCCGTTCCCAACCAACTGATCCGCTGGGTTTTCAACCCACTGATCCGCTGGGTCCGATTTTGTCCGGCCGGTCGCGCCGTTTTGAAGTGTCATTTCACGTGTCTCCATCGCGTGGGTACTTCGTCACGTGTGAGACAGTCTCGCTGACGGAGTCTGTTCCATCACCTGAATCAGATAAGGTCGGTTGAGGGGCATGAATTAACGTCACTTTTGTCGAAGTGAGTGCGAGTTGGTTTTTGCTTGGAAATGTTCGCAATGGAGTCTGGGGGAGCACTGTCGCAACCTAGTTTGATGAATGCGGGTAGTGTTTCAGTTGGTCCAAGTTCACAGGCGTGTATTCCTGCGCCTAAGGACGAAGAGGAGGAGAATGTGACATCATTCGATACGATTCGTGACGTGATGATAATCCAGGATCCAATTGCCCCAGTTTGGACGATTGATGATTTCGAGATAGCTCGTAAATTAGGTCAGGGCCAATTCGGGAATGTTTATTTGGCACGAGAACGTCGGACTAAGTATGTTGTGGCGATAAAGGCGATATTGAAGACTCAACTATTACAATCTAGTAATGAGCATTTACTAAGAAGAGAGATCGAGATCCACTCTCATCTTATCCATCCCAACATTCTTGGTTTCTATGGCTGGTTTACAACCAAGCATTGTATCTGCCTTATCATTGAGGTTGCTTTGGGAGAACTCATGGATCAACTTGAGGCCGGAGGATTACCTGAACCTACAGTGTCCAAGTACATGTTACAGATGATCTCTGCTATTCGCACTTGTCACAAGTTGAATGTGATCCATCGTGATCTTAAGCCTGAAAACATTTTACTCAGTCATGACGGCATGCTAAAACTGGCTGACTTCGGCTGGGCCGCACATATACCAGATCAAGATACAAACACTGGAGTGTGTGCAAACACTGGAGTGTCTGCAAACACCGTAGGGTTGTCTGCCCAACGCGGGCTGCAAAATAGCTCTAATCGGCCCCGGACACCGCAATACGACTACCTAAAAAATAGACGCAAGACTTACTGCGGAACCCTCGACTACCTTAGTCCAGAAATTGTCCGTCATGAATGGTATGGTAAAGAAGTTGACCTCTGGTGCCTTGGAGTACTTTGCTACGAATTAGCACACGGAGGACCACCATTCCCTTGCCAAGAATATAAGGCACAAGGTTTCAAGGAAGCCGATGCCCGCAAACAACAACAACAGGACATACAACAATGCTCCATAGAGAAACGACTCTTACCTTCTATGTCCAATGAGTTAAAGGACTTCCTACGCAAAACACTCCATAAGGACCCCAAGCTTCGAATGTCCACCGACCAGATGATCGTCCATTCCTTCATCACCAAGTTCAATGATATCAACAAAGAACTCGCACTGAGTAATCC